AAATGGATTCCTTTGGATCTGCACTATCTGTTCTGCAGCACATCAACAAATACGGCTCTATTAAAATTTAAAAATTGAATGACAAAATTCAATAAACGTTAGTTCACAAGATAGTATATGAGCTAAAAGAGTATTTTAAATTGCAGTAGAAAACATTGAGAATTAATCTAACAAGAAAATAAATAAGCAGTAGGAACCAAAAATAAATACTCGTAAATTCGGTTTACAGTATATATTTGTTGCACTCAGTCGTTTACAGTACTAGCATGCATATACCTTCCCCATAAAGATAAATGAAAATGACAAGTGATTCTTATGATTATCACAATATATACATATATATATATACACACAATTTCACATAATGATGATTTGTCGAAATCATTCTACGCTACCCAATTAGAATCCAATTACAAGAAATTCCAATTACTAATCTACCGAAAACACATTCTGAGTCGAACATCAATCATAGGATAAGTTACCATAACTAAAATCACCTATATGCAATCACACACGCACGATTTTTATTTTTTTTATTTTTTAACAAATAATAGAGAAATGTAGCTGAGTCGCATAACTTTCATCAACAATCTCGAATTAACTTATTTAAAATTCTTGATTAGCATCTAATCAGATTACAATAATATTGGTGAGTCAATACTCATGGAATGGATTGTCGAACATCAATCATAGGATAAATACGCAGCAGAAATACGAAATACGAAATACGAAATACGAAACAAACTAGGAGAGTACACACTTACAGAGATGTTCATGAAAGTTTGAGAAAATCCTCTAAAGCTACGAGAAAGCTGTTGCAGCCACCTAGATGGGCATTTTCGTCCAAGCTGAGACGGGAATCGTTGTAGAACCAGAATATGGCCCGCATCCTTGGTCGAATTTCATGAAGCTGACCAATGATCATATCTCGCAGCATGTCCCGATTTGTAGGGAGCAGGCCAATGGGAGGATGGGCATTAACAGAATAAGAAGTAGCGAGTTGAAAATTTTGAAAGGTCGGAGGATTGGGAAATGGATGACCTGGGGTGAGCTTGACAACAGTTTGGTACTGGACTTTCCCGGATTCAGCGAAACGACTATTGTAGAGTCGCGCATTCATTGCGTTATAGTGGGCAGATAGACCTTGAACATCTTGCCGGAGAAGAAGAACCTCTTGCCTCAGATTTTGAAGGTCGTTTTGGATGTCTCGCTTATGGCTTTGGAAACCTTGCTCGAGGTTTTTCTCTAGATCTTTCTGGCCAGCAGAGATCTGTTGGGTGATCTTATCGGTTAGTTTCTGCATAACATTTGCAATGTTATCGTTAGTCAGCATGCCTGATGATGATCCGACAACCTTGAAATGGCGGACGATCGAATCGCCGTATGCAGAGAGGTCCATCGATGCACCGTTGCTCATCGCTTGAGCGGCGTGGATCTGAATCATCCGATGCGTCTCCTTAGCCACGTTAGCAGACGTCGGAATCCCGCTAATTGCAGGCAACGAATCCACACCGATAGGTAATTCAAAACGCGCAGTTGACGTAAATTGATTATCCGCCATAGAAATTAGGAGGAGGTGAGAGGAGAAGAGGCGGCGGCGGCGTGAGAGGAGGAGAAGAGGAGGCGGCGGCGTGAGAGGAGGAGAAGAGGAGGAGGCGGCGGCGTGAGAGGAGGAGAAGAGGAGGAGGTGGCGGCGGCGTGAGAGGAGGTGGCGGCCGCGTGAGATGAGGAGGAGGAGGAGTGGTTTCAACAAATCAATTTTAGGGTTTTGAGAGAAAAATCAAAGTTGCGGAAATGACACGTCACACTCCCATTTCTTATTAATCAGGCCGAAACTTGCAGATTTTGGGAAATACTATTTTCCACCCCAAATTAATCGTAATACCCAGTTCTACCCGTTAAATCCTACGCTCTTGTAATACTCACTTTATACAAATTATCCCATCAAAAAAAAAAAAAAGGAAAACTTTATACAAATTAGGGCAATTTACGGTCACCCCTAAGGTATGCTCAAATTACGAAACAACCCCACTTGTTTGGGTTATTACACGCACCCCCTTTTTTAAATATTTTTTTTACGTAAAATTTATGTAATTCAGTTATTTA